CCAGCAATTGTCCGGACTTCCTTGACAAAGAGGGTATAGTTTTCGTCCGAGAGTGTTACCGTCATTAACAAATCCGTGAGGCGATCATTCAGACCCAAGCTGAGGTCCTTTATCTTAATCCGTCCCTCCCAGTGAACACCTTTTTCCAAAGCCAACATGTATTCGAAGTCGTTCAAATAACTCGCAAAGGTTTGATGTTGTCCCTGCCTCATCCTTGAAAGTTTTTCTCCTGCGGCTCGAGTTGACGTCTTATCTTCAAAATTGTCCTTAAAATGGGATATGAACGTTTCATAATTCCAGTCACTCTTAGGCCCTCCTGTAGAGGCCCAATGGGAAACACAATCTCTCATATTTTTGGGTAAGGTATTTATTATGTCCATACAGATTGATTTGTGCCCGCCCAACAAGTCCCAGTCAGACTCAATTTTCTTGGTTAACTGCATCATGTACATGTCATAAGACTCTTTAGTACCATCCCATTCTGGCCAACATGATGCTTTTTTTTTTCCGGATGGTGGAGACCTCGGAGCGGCTGGCTCATTATGACTGTTGCTAACACTTATAAGGGACAAGAGTTGATTAAGTTGTTCCTGAGTTAGTAAAACAGGGGTGCTAGTGGACTGGTTACTGCCTGAGTTGTACGTTGCGTTAGACATCTGAATGTCTTGCGTTTCCTCTTTACTGTGCCTTGATTGCAATGACCGAAATGATTTATATTCCACGGACGAGGTGGATGAGCTAGAGCGGACAAGGTGGGTAGGCTGAATTGACTGAATAAAGTCGGCAGGTGAAGGTACTCTAAACATGTTCATAAAAATTATCTAAATTGGATCGACTAGGAGAGGTTCAATTGACACTTGGACTAGAAGAGTAAAAAAATTAGAGATACAGAATATATGTAAAAGGACTGATCACAATAGCTGTCTGCATAGGTGAATCCAAAAATAAAGGTTTATATTCTGTATAACAAAAGAACTACACTAGCTACACAATTGAGTATCTACTAAGTCTTACGTAAGTCACTTCAAGCCTGACTATCCAATGGTCACGTGAGCAATTGTTACATGTGGAATCAGATAAGTCCGATTCTAATCCTACAAGGCCCTAATGTTATGAATGATGAGCACTGGAGATATTCTTGGGATAGACTTAGAGACAGTTGTGATATAATGCTCGAGAACTGAGTTGTAGACTTTAGAAGGGATTATTATTTGCTAAAGTATAATGGATAAAGTGTGTGATCTGTGTTGGACACTTTTGCGGGCAGTGCCTGACCACCTGTCTAAATACATGAGAAGCTGGTCCGTGCACTGCTATCACTTCTCAACATCCTGATCCTCAACAGATCTCTACAACCACTACGTAGCTTACCTCAATTGTGTAGGCACAGCAACTATATTAATCCATGACCTAGACCATGCACGTCTCTACGTTATGTTAGCACGGACTAGGATTACAACACCTAAGCCTGTAACAGTCAATGAGGATATCAAGGGCTCGGGCGGGTGGTGGCCGAGGCTGAGGAGGGAATTGTGCTACGGCGTGTATATAGCGGGTTTCTGGACGGTTAGGCTTGGTGTGATTCAACACATGGGTGAAGTCTGAGGTGGTCCGGTCATTAAAGTGGGACGAGGTTTATCTGTACTTCACAGTAGTTAACCTGATCCGGTCCAACCCCACACGTGCTTAAGCTCCAATAGGAGTGCGATGGTAGTCATGTAACCTAGCACATTAATGGACAAAAAAAAATAAAACAACCTCAATGACTGAGGGGTCATTATTCCCTTCATAGGTTATGAGCCCAGATTGTCGCTCGCGCAATCACATTGTATCGCCCGGAGTTTGATACTATCTTTGTTATGGGCAAGTAGAAGGGCTTATGCTCTACTTGCGCCAAATTAATCCAACTAGGAGGTCGTCGCCTTCTTGAACCCAATACAAGGCCATCGCCTTTGAGTTGCAATCTCTAAAGAAAATTGAATAGCCGTCGCCTGAGAAGACAGGAGGTTATCGCCTTCGTTAGGGAAAGCTCAGGTCGAGAACTGAAGATCGGGGTCGCTGCAAAACCCTCTTGAGGATTGATGGTTCCTAAACGCACCAGTAGCCAGCCCGTCGATAGATTCTAAGAGAGAGAGCCCATGGGTCAAATGAGTCAACCCGAAAAAACCAAAAAAAAAAACATAAAACTAGCAGCTACAGTTCGAAAGCCGCTCCCAACATTACAATCTGACAGCTACTTTACGACAGCTGCCACAATTAGAATTATTCGACTCGTTTCCGAAGTTTGTCGAATTCTCAACCTGACAGTTCCTATCCAAAAGCTGTCGCAAAATTTTTCGCTGCTGATTTCCGGCAGCAATTTGAACCTCAACCTAGCAGCTACTCTTCGAAAGCTGCTATTTATACTCTCAAGACTTTCCTCCTTATAGTCTTCGCATTTATCTAAGCAGAGGGATTTTCGTCAAGTTATTTGACAACAAAAGTCTCTACAATAGCCTAAGGCTTCAACATTAACACCCTCTCAACGGCTATCTTCGTTTAAGTTTATATTGTTGTGGGGGAGATTAAGTCAAAAATTAGAAGAATAATGGGTGACAAAAATACCGAAGCAAGGTAGAAAGAAAACCAAGTGGAGCTTGATGATGGTATTGTTGAGCGGATTGGTTTGCAAAAGCTTGTGGCTGTTAAGCACAGATTGTATCACTTGGTGAAGCGAGTGGGAAAGTAAAGGAGTCTGTAAATCTGTTGTGGAGAGTTGTTAATTACTCCCACTAGGACACAGAGTGCTATATAAACTATATTTTGTAATAATAAAATCTAGTGGTTGGTATTTACGTCAAAGCGCATTAATACTAACCTCACAATTAATGGGAGATTAGTGACGTGTCTTCTACACATCCCTGTCTTTACCATAATTGGAAGCACCAATTTCAACAGGTATGAGAGAGCTATCACACTGTACGCTCTGGAATGTAAGTCTTTGGAAGGGATACACCAGTGTGGCATAATGCTTGTAGAGGGAAACGAGACAATGGAACACTTGTGATTTTGATGGAATAAACACCGGAACAACCGCAGCACGGAACCTGGGGGAGTGTATTTGAGAGCTGAGAAAGGCTGACACTAAGACGCCAAATACTGGGGGGGGGGGCCTTTGAAGTTAACAACATCAAATTGAAAGGTTACCTTGGGAATGCTCAGGACTCTACGGTGTTCGTGGGGGAAATGAGAGGAGATGGATCAGTTCCAAAGGAAACATTGATTGGATTGATTCATCGAAAATTTAAAGACCAGTTTGGTAGCAGACAACTTATCATTCAAGGAAACGTCCAATGAAGCAAAGATACAGGAAGACAAGGAATACGCCCGATTAGTCTATGGGGGAGTGTTAGAATTTAGAATAATTGGGGCTATCAAGTAGGCCACGTTGTTGGTACTTTCACGGATCCGTAATTAGAATTTTAATACTAATTTTAATTCGTGATAAGATGAAGGGGTAGTTAATCAAAGACATCAATTTAATAATAGCTTCCCCTATACAATTAGTCGTGTAAAAAGTCATGTAAGGATATGCAAGAGAGTCATGAAGAGAAGGACAAGAACACAGCCATTAATGCGAAGATATTGGCAAGAATTGATTACGATTAATTCCGGTTGGCAAAGGCTTCTACTCTTGTATATAATAGTTCGGCGTGAGAGATATTTACTCCTCACGCAACGTCTTCTTTATTTACCCTTTACAATACATTTGTTCACCCATCTCTTCTTCGGGAAGACCATCTATCCATTGCCCAGTTCTTCATCAGCAAGACCCACATGTAACATCTACTGCAACTAGTTGCCCATTCATCTCTTCCTAGAGAAGACCTGTCATCCCTTTGACCCATTTATAATCTTCACTTACCACCTAGATCTTCACTAGGCTATACAACGCACCCCATGGAACACTGTCAAACCCTCATCCCTGAGAGGTACACACGTGACTACAAATTCTGTACTTAGTTTCACTTTGGTAGTTTCTTGAATCAATGCGTCCTGCAACCTCAATGACTGAGGGGTCATTATTTCCTTAATAATAATGTGTCATAGCTAGATAGCTGAATACACTATGAATAAAAAACAATAAAAAAAACACGTTCCTGTATCTATCACGTGAGATTTAACAAGTGCTCACCACGAAGTCGGTAGATTTAATAGTGTTAGATCACGACAGTATTTAATCTTATTGACCAGATTAGGTGCCATCAATTTTCCACCTACTTTTTCCTTAACGGTTAGACAAAGCACGCAAACTTTACTCTGAGCACTGATAACGAGTCGTAGCTACACAAATCACGATAATGTAAATAAGACAGGGTGCTGCTGGGCATGGCCTGTCGAGTTGGGCTACTGTAAATTCAACATGGAGCTCAAATCACCGGGCTGCATGGCACAATCTCAAGTGTGGACACTCGATGGGAAAGTGTTGGAAATATCGCGCAATGTAATGGGCGCAATGTAACGGGCGCAATATTCATGGAACGAAAGTAGAAGTTGACTAAAAGAGTGTCATGTTCGGATTACAGCTAAAAGTGTGGGAAGTATGCGCTACAAGTACAAGTGTAAGCGACACAGAGCCTAAGCCACAGCATAAACAAGTGTGGCGCCATCTAGGCATAGAAAACCCTCAATAACCTCCTTGCGCCCACGCCATACAGCCGCTCATATGTCCAATAGGTAGCCTGAAGCGCTACCATATTACCTGTTCCAACCTCTTAAATACACACGAGATCGTGTCGGGAACCTAGACGAAATGGAGGGCCCATACGTCCACAACACTCCGTGTCTCCATTTCCAACAGAAAGTCTTGGTAGATGATTTGAAATTTGCTCCATCTTCTAGAGGTCAGGTAGCGAGAATTTTCGAGTTATGGCTGATTATGTCTGTGAGGGCTGAGGCATTTTCTGGAAATCGAACTTGTAATCAGAATCGACAGAAAACTGCCCGTCTACTTTAGTCGTTTACGCCTTTGTACACCAGGTGTCGCTTGTGCCAAGATACCTCCCCCAGCCAGTGCTTATCATCCCCAAAATGTCGCCCGACGCTGAAGTCAGCAAATAGTACTTCATTCCCGCCCCTTTTAGGCATGTTAGTGGATGGAAGTCAGTAGATGGGGGAATACTTACGACCTTGGGAGTCTGTCAATTGCGTCACATACCAATAATAAGCGGGATTAGCTGTGGGGGTAATATTTCCTCTGTATTGAATATTAATCGGAAATTTGTTATCTGTACTCGGATTATTTATGCGCGAGACGGCCCTTTTGTGGGCTGCTCTAACATCGGCCGATGATATGACCATATCTTGGGCACAGTTGTAGTCTCGATAACATTGCACCACAGCTATGGTAGATACGAGCCAAAGTCCAAGAGAGCTGAGCAAGCGAATGGAGTGCATGTTGTGAGAATGGCAAGTTGGACGAGAGATGGTGACTTGGAAGGAGAAGATGGTTAGACCCAGGGAGAGTTGGTGCAACTTTATATTACCTTTGAGGACGACAATGAATGATCCAGAGATGTAATCAACTTGCAACTACGGTGGACTCGGCACTATGGAGTCTCCACGCCCGCTTTTCTCACAGCTGATCCTATTATAATACGCAGATTCCTACCTTCGAGCCCCACTAGGCCCGGCATTGCAAAACCCAGCCCTTTGCCGATTGGAGTGTCAATAAATTGCTCTATTCCTCCGTCCAAATGGTAGTCATTATTCGCGCACAATATGGCGGCTGGATCTTGTAGTATATGTTAGCCAATATGCACCTCGTCCGAGATGGATGTGAGTCTCGGTAGAAGGAGACCACGGTACGTGTATACGTGTATAGCTAGGGCCAGCAAACGCTTTATTGGACCTTTCAACTACTACTATCTACTACTTTGTTGCTCTGACACCTGACTATGGATGCCTCGTTCGGAAGGAACTCAGGTGTATTATTCTGTAAGCGCCGCTTCGGGCTTTCACGGTTAGGCGAGGGAAATACACCTCATATTGTGAAGAATTTTTACTCATACTTACCTAATTTTTTAAGTATATTCCTCGTTGGGAAGCCCACTACACACTCCATACTTTTACACTTTAAATGGTCACGAGAAGCACTGCGCGAAATCGGGATCCGTCGACTTGGCTATGAGTTGTAGGACGAACGGGCTAGACCTAGACGGGATAAGTGTGCCGCGACAAGCTCAGCAAGTATGAGAGGGCTGACTGCTACGTGCAAAGCCAGTGACAATGCCAGATGTGCATACATAGAGGTTTGAGAAGTCGTGGTACTTGCAAATGAAATCCGAGGCATAAGTTCTCTATTTGTATACTGAGTCATCATTTCTATACTTTTTCTCTGATAATGTGTCAAGGCTAGATAGCTGCATATGCCATTAAAATCTGATGAGGAAAAAAATGGGTTGCCAACTGGGAAACAAACATGAGAGCGCGTCGGGAGTGGCCGAGCCGGTGGATCTCTCAGATGCAATGTTACTCTCAGCTGACTCGTGGTCCGCTCTGCTCGCCGGCCATACCAAGGGCGAGAGACGACATCGACATTCCAGTCTCACAATCATCTATGGCTATCATTACACTTTTTCGTGGTAGCCTGAGCCATGGGAATGTCATTCGAAAGGCCGAAGGACACGTCGTCTGTGGGAAGCTTGGCCACCTTCCACTCGTGTTTCCAAACAAATCGAGGAATATACAAAACATGGTGTCAACACAAGAGTTTTTGTCACTCGCAAAGACGAATTCTTCACCGCCAGCGATGTCGGTGTAATTACTCAATATGCTCTGCTTATCTGGAATCGACCACCTCTCACCAATGTCGGTCCCATCATTTACTCAGAAGTCCTGCATCCCAATCTCACCACAAACTATCATGTCTCGACAACCAATCAAGGAGCTGTTCCCATTGCAAACAAGAATTTGCCTAATCCAAAATCGTCCATCATTCAGTTCCAAGTTACAATAATATACATATGCAAAAGGAGAGGCCAAGTCAAAATTTATAAAGCCTGGACTTAAGTCTAGGTGAGACCGCTGCCATAATGAGGCTCTACAACTTGGGGAAGTATGGGCAGCTGGGACATTGAATTTCAGAAGCTATGGATAACAACCAAAGAAGATGGACAGGAAAATACTTCTATCAAACTGTGGATAGTTTGGGAGCGATCAATATAGATTTTAAGGTGTTAGGTTTACAAAGCTTGGAGTTACTTGTTTTGGAAAAAGGTGTTTTGCTTGGGCTGTAGCAATAAGAACTCAATATATTCTCACTAGAGATGTTTCGATCCAAACTATGAGAAACTCGGTTCATGGGGACAAGTGGGGGACAGATAGAGCACTTGCCATTTTCTAGACGTACATAATCTAGATGTGACGGCTGTCAAGCCTAAGAGTTCCTGTAGCCTACGCTGTCTAGCGCAGGCAATCATACGAAGGGAGGTTCCTGGGAAGATCTTGGATGACAGGGAACCTAGATGATTCACATTGAGCCTTGTTGAAACCTACTGAGAGTTCATGAGGGTTACAGAAGTATCAAGGGTCTACAGACAATTGTCGGAGAGTCTGTGTTGACAGGTCATAGAGAGAACCTTATCGAGGAGGGATATTTCAGTCTGTATATATAGGTAGTCATTAAGCACAGGAATTCTCTCTTCAGAGAATTATAATTAAAATATTGCACCTACAACATCTCTCATGCATTTTGTAATGAAACTGTGACACTAGATAGTATCAGAAAGAGAAATAGTAGCCAGGAAGTAATTGACACTTTTTACTCCTTACATTATTCAATTTACTCGTAGAGTCTAGCAACTTATGATCACAAATAAAGACTTTCTATGCGCACGTGGGTTATTTGCTTAGTGTAAGGATTCCTCTTCCGATCCTTAGTTCAGGATATAATTTTACCTTTCTTCATATGTTGCTATGACAACAGGACAGTTCTTGGTACATGGTATCATGTTGATATTATGTTAAGGTCTATGTTATGATGAGCTAGTGAAAGGCAGGCAGGTATATATACAATGGTTTGGTCTGTAGATATGAAGTTCTCTACGCTTAGTTTTCTGACACAACCACCACCTTCAGATCACCTCTGGTCACCTATAGTCACCTCTAGTTACCTCTAGTACCTTTAGTTATCATTAGTACCCTCTCGAACCTTTAGACCTTTTAAATACTTATATTATCCATCTTTCAAACCTCAATTTCCTCCAGATTATCTCTAGTATACCTTCAGTCATCTTTCGCCGTCAATTTAACCTCTTCTAGCCCTTCGAATTCGCTCCAGCTCAAACGCCTAGACTCCAATCTGACACTTAGCTTAGTGCTGGTAATATATATATCTGAGCTGCAGGCTATCTATTCCTACGACATGTCTATGTTACAGGCTGCGCCTTAAATCCATGTACTTGTGCCTATCTATGTCCAAATTACCGATGTTCCTTTATGGGTTATATATAAGGAAATGGTTAAACTGTCCTTTAAAACTATTGATGGTGACATGAATTAAGATGATAGTTGTGATTTAGATAAATTTATATACAGTTTATTATAAATGATATGCTCCAGCTCATATACCTCGAGCCAAGCAACGAGATTATGTTCCTCCAGATCTAGGTTCATCAGAATAATTACTTACTCAGTATAATTTTCCTGGTCTCAGTTGTGTGTTTGGGATCTCGAATAGGTTTCTAGTAACTAATCAATGATGTTTCTCCTATCACAGAGACATAGTCATGGTTGATACAACAAGTACAAACTATGAATTGTGTCTGTACATGATATTGTGGTATAGTCATGATCATCTGAACAATATCAACTGTAAGGATTCTGGAGAAATGCCTCAGGCAGGATTTATGGGTTCCCTGTTTAGCACCGCTAGGCTTATTGCCTAGCGAGGATAGTTATGTAGTTTTCATTTCGGATGCTGAGGTCTTCACGCTTTGTTTTCTGTCTTTAGGAATAGTTACATTATTCTAATCATATCTCACTCTCGTCCTCTGCCAATCATAGTGACCTACCGTCACCTCCGGTCCCTCTATCTAGAACGACTCACCGCTTTCCCATTTACCACTTCTCTAGAAAGCCCTCCGCGTTCCCACGAGGCGTCCTTCCTCAGTATATTGTACGCTACGCCCTCTCCTACGCCTCGAGTCTTGCGCCTAGTGAACCTGCGCCTGACATCAACTCATGAATGAATCATGTCTCTACATGACATGATCCCACTTACAAAGATCCATCATTCTTCGGATCCTCAGATGCGTCCTATGCTAATGAGCCAAAGACGCGCAAAAGTTCTCAAGGTTACTTCTTCAAGTTCGGCGGTATGGCAATTGACTGGAAATCAACAGTTCAAAGAACAGTCACAAAATCAACAATCGAGTCTGAGTTACTTTCCTTGTCATTAGCTGGCTCGCAAATGCGGGAGTGGATACAAATTTTCGATGAAAATTCTCTCAAACTCAATTGCAAGCCAACAATTTGATGTCATTAACAGCAAACTGTTGGTATCACCATTAAATCTGAAGATAAACTAAGGTCAAGCATGTGAATATACACCAACTTTGGATCTGCTAAGAAGTTGAAGCCTCTCGACTGAAGATCATTTGGGTACCAACAGAAAAAATGCCTGCTGATTGCCTGACAAAAATTCTGCCCAAACAAAAATTTATGGAATTTTCAAGACAACTCAGCTTGGTTGATATTAGCAGTTGCCTTAAGAATATGAGAAATCTTCATTTCGAAGATGTCAATATATTATTTCCAAACCAATGATTGATCAGCCACTATATATGTTTAAGGCTTGCAGTGCACTTCTCATTGATACTGGCTGGGGGGTGTGTTACGGTTTGCTTTGTAGATGTTTTTTACAGACATGCATGGTGATGCAGGGGCTAGAAATGGAATATGTGGCGTTAGTGTCTCGGCATTTAGACGGGGGAATATGGAGACATTAGATTGAGAACAGAACAGGGCAATAGACAATCTAACAATTCTTTCCACTGATCATCAATGCTATCAAGACCATATTAAATTCTTGAGTAGATTTGGATGCAATTCTTCTTGACCATTCCAAATATGCAGAGCACACTGAGAATATACACTGGCACCACTGTGACAGATTAGCATGTAGACAGCAGGGCAGAGACATGGGTCAAAGGGGTGGTATTCAGGCTAAAGGGTGCCTTCCTACATTTTGCATGAGATAGGTGCACAACCACTCTGCCAAAAGGCCAGACCAGAATCATAGAACTCTAGACATGGGTTATCTCCACATATATAGATTATACAGAAGGCAATCCTGACACACTGGAAGGTGAAGAATTCGTCTTTGCCAGCAATCAAACTATAAACACCGCCATGATTGGATGGTGAGCTGGTACATTGTCTTGGCAGGTCTGCCA